AGGTGCTTCGGCCGGCTCGGTGGGGAGGTGGTGGGTAGTTGCTTTGGCCGGCTCGGTGGGAAGGTGCTTTGGCCGTCTCAGTGGGGAGGTTCTTCGGCCGGTTCGGTGGGTCGGTGCTTCGGCCGCTCGGTGGGGAGGTGGTGGGTAGATGCTTCGGCTGGCTTAGTGGGGAGGTGATGGGTAGGTGCTTTGGCTGGCTCGGTGGGGAGGTGGTGGGTAGCTGCTTTGACCGGCTCGGTGGGGAGGTGGTGGGTAGGTGCTTCGGCCGGCTCGGTGGGGAGGTGCGAATGGGGTGGGGGGGGTGTGGTAACTCCTTTCCGCATGTATAATGTTCTTCGAATCGTTGAAGATTCGTTGCTGTTTACTATTTTGTTTGTGACCGTGTATGACCTTGCTGTTTGTGACCATTGGTGTTTACTATTCTGCTTTGTACAAACACGTAGAAAGACAGAAGACGCCAAGAGCTAAGACAGTGATACAGAAAGCACCAGCCATACACTAACAAAGAAAACATGAGTCAGAGACAGAAGGAGCGAAGTGAGATTCTTCATTGGGTTTTTCCCTGACGGTGTTCGCGGGCGCAAGCTGCACTGGCTGCACCTGCTTGTTGTATTATTATTTCTTTTATGAAGAAGAGAAGGGGGAGATAAGGAGGAGGAGATTGTTGGGCGAAGAAGAAGAGCCTTGTTTTTGCCTTTACTGGTGTACATCTTCTTCTCCTTCTTTTTTACTTCTTCTTCTTCTACTCCTCTCTCCCCTCTCAAGTTCATTCATTTCTTTCTGCAATTGGATGGCATTGTACTTTCCAGTGGATGTGTATCTCGAAATTGGCCAGGGTCATAACATTGGTATCAGAGCGGATTCTACTTGCTGGTGGGAGTTGACTTTGCTACCCTAACCCTAACCTAAGTGGTTGAGGGCAACACTTAGGGTTAGGGTTGGATGGTTGTAGGAAGTGGGGCAGCGTGGCTAAGGGAGGCTGCCTCCACCTGGTTAGGTCATGTGGGGTCAACATAGAACCTAACCAGGTTGCTTGAGAGTGAGATTAGGGTGGCGAGACATTTCGAGGAGACTTCATGCGGCGATTTGAGAGAGGCGACAATGAGAGGCACTCGCACTTGGAATCTGATTCAAGGGAGACACTTGGCGACTTAAGGGCTGCCCTCAAGTAGGCGAGCTTGAGGGTCAGTGGCCATTCTGCATCAACGGACTGCAAGTTGCTACTTTGTTCTTCAGCATCGACGGGGGATCCGGCGTTGCACTTGGGTGTTGGAGTCAGACCCTCCTAGGAGATAGGACACTAGTGTAGGGGTAGCGTTAGATGGGTCAGGAGGACCACATGAGAAGGGGGGTGAGTTCTCTTCATCTCGAAGCTCAAGGCCACTCAGGTAAGTGTCGTGCACCTACGGGATGCCCATGTATGTGTGTATGGTATTGATTGTCCTGCTGGGGTACTCTGGGTTTCTTTTCCTACTCCTCTGTGGTGTGATTGTGTGACTAAATGCATGTGATCTACCTACTCACCTGATGGATGGAAAATGAAGTATCTTGATATACATGCCGAGTCTTTCTACAGTGCTTTGTCTTTTCATCACTGACGGTTGTAGTCTGTAGGTTCTGCCATAAGTTGAAATTTCGTTTTTCAGTGCAGTAGAGACTGAACTAAGTCCAGGTGGGACTCCTCTTGGTTGGGACCTGGTTGAGACCTACGGGGGACCCTTGGGACCCAGCGGGCCCGGGCCCAAACAAGGAGAGCCTCTCGACCCAAATCAGTTAGGCATTGACCTCTTGTCTTCTTGGCTGGGATACGAGTTCATTCTTCTTGGATTAGGACACCCACTGCCGAGGGGATCTTGGCTGAGACGTTTCGCATGTATTCTGATTTCACCGTCCGTGGCTTGACTCGCACCCTGTACACCACTCAATTCTCCATTGTTGCATTTAGTTCCTCGTTGTCTGATTTGCTGTACGGTCATGGAGCTGGTCAGACTGGACTCGAGAGGACCTCGTATGCAGTCTGATCAGACTGGGTCGCTGGATCAGACCTCTCATTGAGATTGTTTGTTTCTTCTGTTGCTCTCTACTTCCAAATGAAATGCCGCTCCGCCTAGGAGTTCTACCTTCTCTCCTCTTAGCTTTTCAAGTCTGTTTTCTGAGTTCATTTCCGATGCCCGTGGAGACTCACAATCTGAAAGAAGAGAGAGAGAGGAGGGAGAGAGAACAGGGAGAGAGAGAAAGTGATTGTCAAGTGGGCAAGGACTGGGAAAAGGAGTGTTCGTCCAAGCGGGAGGGGGAGTGAACCTCTTGAGAGTCTGATTTGATTCTTTTGCTGACTGGCGACTCTCTTACCCACTTGTCCATACTGACAGTCCGAAAATGGCCCAGCTTACTTCAATGCAATGGTGGGCCTTGTTAGATGCAGCCAGTGATGCTGAGAAACCGTATATGCAAGCACTCTTAGACAGTGCAATCAAAAGGGAACAGGAGTCAGAGAAGGAGAGGAAGGAGACCCTGCTGAAAAGGCAAGTGGCTCTCCTAGAGACTGTTCCCTCACTGACTGAAGAGCAGTGTGGGGAACAGTTGCAGTCCATACTTACAGCCTTTGTTCAAGTCAGGAATCTTGAGGACCATACCACTCAGATCGCTGAAGTCTTTGCAAAGTTGCAGACACTTCAAGATGATCTGACTGATATGACCCGCAAGTACCATGAATTGACAAAGGAGGTGGTTGACCTGCGACAAGCCCAAGTGGCCAACCCTCTTCCTCTACCCCCTAGAACCGAAGCTCCAATCGAAACTACCTCTGCCCCTCTCACCGTATCTTCTTCTGCCACTTCTTCGAGTGTGATGGCAACCCCCTCGGGACCTGCAGCAGGTGCAGATTCCGTTGTTGCTGTAACAAGCAATGAGGTTGAAACTTCTGCAACTACTGCAGCCCCAAGACCGGAACCAGCTGCTGCTGGTCCCAACCACGCCGGTCCCTATGTGGACCGAAAGGAGGTACAAATACCATCCAAGTACGACGGCAAGGAAGACATTGAGTTCTGGATCGGCTCCATGAGGGCCTACTTTGAGATTCTGGGGACTCAAATTGAGACCCAGGTGGTGATAGTGGGAATGAATGTCGAGCCGGTCGTACGGGGCTTCCTAGAAGTCCAAGCAACGCGGGCTGGGTTCCAAAAGACTGCATTAGCCAAATGGCTTAGGACCACCCTTGTTGCCTCCCTCGAAGATCTCCTTATCTCACAATACCAAGATCCACATGTTGTTGTTAGAGCAAGAACTCAACTTGACAAAGTCAAGCGCAGCAAGTGGACAGGCTCCATGAAAAGCCTGCAGACCTATCTAAGCAAGATGTTTGCTACTCCTGGTTTGGACTTGTCTGCTCAATCTTGCTTAGATGTGGTTAAGGGCGCGGTTCCAACTAGTTTCACTAATCGCCTGGGCAAGGACTACATTGCATACACTGACTGGCTCACCTTAATGAAGGACATAGTCAGTTTGGAGGCTATAGACCTCGTCAGCACGGCAGGCAGCAAAAAGCCCATGGGCGGCAGACGGTTCCAGGGCAGCAACCGTTTTGCTGTACATGACCTGCTGGAGGCCAAAGAAGAAGCCGATGCGGGTGACCCCACTCTTGGTGACGACAAAGAACAGGACTTCGATACAGCTTGTTCTTCAACCCATGAGTCCGAAGCAAATAAAGAAGAGGAAAAAATTTCTGCCTTTAAAAAGACTGCCTGTACCAAGGGACCGAATCGGAGTGCCGGGAAAAGTTATGTTCAACTTCCCAAAGGAGTCAAGATCCCGCCTAAACCGGAGGATGCAGCTACCAAACCTTGGGTTGACCTCGAGATCACTGAAAATGACTGGCGGGGCAGACTCAAGAAAGGGGTTTGCCTGCATTGCCAAAAACCCAATCATAAGGTTCAGGACTGTTATAGGCTGCAGGGAAACCAGAATCGGGCGTAGAGCCAGTTTCAGCAAACTCTACAGCAGGGGAGTCCGACTCTGTTGAAAATCAGCAGCCCTCCCTTGAAGCCCAACCATCTGCTGAAGACAAGGCTGAGGTAAGTAATGTCTTGTATGTCGAACCTTGGGAGGAGTCTGAGATGGTTGACTTCCACTACCACTTGGAGCATTGGGCTGAGATGAAACAGCAGCGTGCCCAAGGAACAGTGAAGTTGATCTTCTTTAAACTTCTCATAAACCACCGCTATCTCCGTGTGCTGGTTGACTGTGGTGCTACAGCTAATCTCATGTCACCACATGGGATACGCAAGGTGGGCTTGGGGATGAAGCAAGTGGCCCTGCAGAACCCTTGTCGGACCCAAGTCGGCAACAAGGAAGTTGTCTCTTCAACACATGCAGTCAAAGGTGTGCGCACTACCTTTGACAAAGGCAAGACTGTCACCCACGCGTTGAACTTCTTTGTCCTTGACAAGTGCCCCTTCGACGCTGTCCTTAGCTTGGACTGGCTGGAGTCCCAATGCGAATGGACCAAGTGGAAGGAATCACTCTTCATGGTCAAAGATGCTCAGGGGAACGAGTTTCCTGTCCTCTTGGATGAGAAGTGCGAATCCCCAGTGACTTTTCTAAACGCTATGCAGTTCTACATAAAGTGGCGCAAGCATAAAGAGGACGAACAGTTGTATGTTGCCTTTGTTCGTCCTGCTCATGTGCCTTCTACTTTTGCGGCTAATACCACTACTACTTTGATTGATGATCCTACTTCTGGTACTTCTACTACTAGCACCTCTACCTCTCTACCCTCTAATAGTCCAAATGATCCTRCTTCAKATTCGGTCGTCTCTATACGCGACTTGCGACCGGATCTTGGTGATCCCTTTGCTGATTCCCCACCCCCCACCTGTCCCATCAGACATCCAAACCCTCCTCGATCGGTTTTTGGAAGTCCTGGCCAAGCCACGTGGAGTCCCCACGCGACCGGTCCGACACACCATCGAGTTGGTCGAGGGTGTTGTTCCTCCAAAGGGCTGCGTGTACCGTATGGGACCCGGCGAGTTGGAGGAACTCCGGCGACAGATCGATGAGATGATTGACAAAGGGTGGATCAAACCAAGTGAATCTGAATTTGGTGCTCCTGTGTTGTTTGTGCCAAAGAAAGGAGGGAAACTCCGCATGTGTATTGACTATCGCGGTCTAAACCGCATCACAAGGAAAAATGTTTATCCATTGCCTCGTATAGATGATTTGCTTGATGTCTCAGGCGGGTGCAAGGTCTTTTCCAAGATCGATCTCAAGTCTGGCTACCACCAGATTGAAGTCGATCCTACGGACCAGCACAAGACTGCGTTCAAAACACGCGACGGGCTTTATGAGTTCACTGTAATGCCCTTCGGTCTTACGAACGCACCAGCCACTTTCCAAAGCTTCATGGACAAGGTCCTCCGCGAACAGATTGGCCGTTTTGTGGTAGTGCACCTGAATGATATTCTGATCTTCAGCAAGTCCATGGAGGAACACCTCAAGCATCTTGAGGAGGTGCTCGCTATCCTCAAGAAGACACAACTCCATCTCAACTTGGAGAAATCTGAGTTTGGGAAGGATAGCGTCATCTATCTTGGGCATCGGTTGTCTGCTGCAGGCCTAGAGCCTGAGGCAGCCAAGATTGAGGTCATACGCGATTGGTCTCAGCCTGCGAACATTCGCGAATTGCGTTCTTTCCTTGGTCTCGCGTCCTACTATCGGAAGTTTGTGACCCACTTCTCTATCATTGCTCGTCCATTGTCGCGACTAACCCGCAAAAATGTGCCTTATTCCTGGGATGCCGCGTGTACGAAAGCTTTTCAAACTCTCAAGGAAGCCTTGGTAAGTTACCCAGTACTCCGCATTGCAGATCCCAAACTAACATTCGTAGTTACTACGGATGCAAGTCAGTATGGAATCGGTGTAGTGCTGCAACAAGATGACAGCGATGGCCTGCGGCCACTCGAGTACTACAGCAAACGAATGCCCCGCGTAAAGGTAGCCACTTCCACCTACATGCGCGAGCTCTATGCTTTGCATATGGCGTTGGATCACTGGAAACATTACCTTTTGGGACGCCACTTCAAAGTCTTCTCAGATCATGAGACCTTGAAGTGGATCAAACAGCAAACTACTCTGTCCCCTACCTTGCTTCGCTGGTTCCATGAGATTGACATCTTCGATTTTGAATTAAGACACAAAAAGGGCTGTTACAATCGAGTCGCTGACGCATTGTCTCGCCACCCTAAGTACATGACTTGCCTTGTGAAATCCTATGACCTTCGGAAGAAACTGAAAGAGGAGCTGGTAGAGCAGACAGCCAAGGATCAAGAACTTAGTTCCATCCTTGAGCAGTTGCGGGATGATCCTAGCAGTCAGCCTGATTTCCACGAGTATGGAGGACTGATTTTTCGTTGCTACGGGAACCATGACCGTTTGTGTGTGCCCAACCATGAGCCTCTCCGGACACACTTTCTGGACTTGGCTCATGGCCGGAGCGGGCACTTCGGCATGACAAAAACGTACGCTAATTTGCTGAGACAGTTTGATTGGCTTGGCATGAAAGGGACTGCTCAGAAGTTTGTGGCTGAATGTCAAGTCTGTCAGCGGATCAAACCATGTAGACAAAAGCCCATGGGTCTACTCACACCTCTACCCATTCCCGAAGGTCCCGGGGAGTCTGTCTCCATCGACTTCACTGACATGGGTAAGGTAAGCAAAAACGGTTATTCGCAAGTCATGGTGATTGTTGACAAATTTTCAAAATTTCTTAATCTGATCCCTTTGCCGCCTCACACCCCAACAAATCTAGTGATCTGCGAATTCCAACAGAAATACCTGCTGCAATTCGGAACCCCGAAGACTCTTGTGAGCGATTGGGATCCGCGTTTCATTAGCACTGAATGGAAGGATTTCACGTCCCACCTAGGAATCAAATTGTGCATGGCATCTGGCCGGCAACCCAAAGCCAACGGTTTGGCTGAGGAGATCAACCAGACTGTATTCCAACTTCTTCGTGCGTTGATTATTCCGGACCAGGAGACATGGGATGAAGAGCTGTATTTTGTCAAGGGGTTGTATAACAACTCTGTCCATTTTGCCACCGCCATGACACCCAACAGGTTGCACTACGGTTGGCAGATCCGTAATCCGCTCTCCTACTTATTCCCTGAGCAGTCAGCTGGCTTAACACCCGGCAGGCCCGGCTTCAGGGCTAAGTATGATCGCTTGCTCAAAGTTGCTGTTGCAGCTATGACCAAGCGACAACATGCCATGATCCACCATGCAAACAAAAAGCGCCGACCATCGGAGATTCAAGTAGGAAGCTATGTTTGGGTGAAGATGTCTGAATTCTCAGAGGAGGAGGGAGTCTCACGCAAACTCCTCCCACTCTACTACGGGCCTTGGGAAGTTTTGGATGTAATTGGGGAAGATCACTTTGGCCCTTCGTACGTTGTAGACGTGCCAGCTCACCTGCGCATATATCCCGTGTTCCATGCATCTAAATTGAATCTCCACCGTGACGCCGAGACATTCGATTACCGCGAAGATATGATCCCTCGCGCAATCAAGGGCGGGCACGAAATAGATGGAATCAAACAGCATGTAGGTAAGGGAAGAAACAGACAGTACCAGGTTCATTTTATGTATCACCCGTTAGACGGTCTGTACTGGATCTCCAAACAGGAACTGCTACGCAACGCACCGCGCGTTGTCAAAGCCTATGAGCGACAAATCGCTATTAACGCCGCACCAAAGATCTCAGCAAGGCTCACTGCGACAGAGTATTCCAGGAATCTCTTTGCCTTGCTCGCTTACGATGCGTTTGCCGAGGACTCAGAATGAGTTACTCGCTCGAAGGGACCTCGCTCTTGAGGGGGTGGTAGTGTGATAACCCGTCCAAACACGGACTGAAACACACAGCTGATTTTTGAGTTTTGCTCATAGACTGAATGCACTACTGAGTTCCCCACCTGCTAAGCCTGCTAAGTCTGTGTGTGTGTGCTTGCTGGACTGCATGTCTGTCTGAGTGCTGGTTGGCTTGCGTGTGTGTGACTGTGCCTGTCTGAGTGCTGGTTGGTATGAGTGTGTGTGTGTGGCCCGCCAGGGCACTTGTTCGTTCGTTGGGCCCTCAGGGCCGGTACTTACCTGTGGCCGTGGCTTCAAAGGGTTGCAGCGGGGAAAAAGCACTCAAGTAGCGGGTAGGCCGGTACCGC